ACAATGCACAAACACCAGAAGAGAAGCTAGATAACTGGGAGCGCCTAAAAATCAAACACTTATGCTTAACAAAGGCTTCACCAAAAGAGTCGAAAGACAACCTACAGACTAGGAAAAAATTTTTGGCTACAACAAATCCGATCAGCATCTAATCTCTAAAATCTATAAGATAACTGCAAAACCTGAACAACAAAAAGACAAACAACCCAATTAAAAATGGGCAAAGGGTATGAACAGACACTTCACCAAAGAAGACATTCAGGCGGCTACCAGATACATGAGGAAATGCTCACGACCGTTAACCATTTAGAAAAATGCAAATCAAAACTACAATGAGATACCATCTCACCCCAACAAGACTAGCATTAATCCAAAAAACTCAATAATAAATGTTGGAGAGGTTGTGGAGAGACTGGAACACTTATACACTGTTGGTGGGAATGTAAAATGGTACAACCACTTTGGAAATCAATTTGGCACTTACTTAAAAAGCTAGAAATAGAAGTACCATACAATCCAGCTATCCTGCTCCTTGGATTATGTCCTAGAGAAATAAGAGCCTTCACATGAACAGACATGTGCACACCCATGTTCATTGCAGCACTGTTCGCAATAGTAAAATGTTGGAAACAACATAGGTGCCCATCAAAGGATGAATGGATAAACAAATTATGGTATATTCACACAGTGGAATACTACACAACTATAAAAGCAACGATGAATCCACGAAACATAACATGGATGAATCTGGAAGGCATTATACTGTGTGAAATTAGTCAGTTGCAAAAGGACAAATATTGTATGAGACCGCTGTTGCAAGAACTCAAGAAAAGGTTTACACACAGAAGAAAACGTAATTTGATGGCTACTAGGGTGAGGAGGGAGGGAGAGGGGAATTCACTAACTAGACAGTAGACAAGAATTATCTTAGGCGAAGGGAAGGACAACACACAATATAGGGGAAGTCAGCACAACTGGACTAAACCAAAAGCTAAGAGTTTCCTGAACACGACCAAACATTTCAACGGACAGAGTAGCAGGGGCAGGGGTCTGGGGACCATGGTTTCAGCAGACATCTAGGTCAATTGGCATAACAAAGTTCATTAAGAAAATATTTTGCATCCCATTTTGGCAAGTGGCGTCTGGGGTCTTAAAAGCTAGCGAGCAGCCATCTAAGATGCATCAATTTGTCCAAACCCACCTGCAGCAAAGGAGAGTGAAGAACACCAAAGACACAAGGAAAATATTAGCCCAAGAGACAGAAAAGGCCACATAAACCAGAGACTCCCTCAGCCTGAGACCAGAAGAACTAGATGGTGCTGGGCTACCACCAGTGACTGCCCTGAGAGGGAACACAGCAGAGAGTCTCTGACGGAGCAGGAGAAAACTGGAGTGCAGAACTCAAATTCTGGTAAAAAGACCAGACTTAATGGTCTGACTGAGACTAGAGGAGCCCCAGAAGACATGGCCCCTGGCCTGTCTGTTAACCAATAACTAAAACCATTTATGAAGCCAACTCTTCAGACAAAGATTAGACTGGACTGTAAGACATAAAACAATACTTGTGAAGAGTGTGCTTAGTTCAAGTAGATACACGAGACTAAATGGGCAGTTCCTGTCCAGAGGTGAGATGAGAAGGCAGAAAGGGATAGGAGCTGGTTGAATGGACTCGGGAAATCCGTAGTGGAAAGGAGGAGTGTGCTGTCACATTATGGGGATAGCAACTAGGGTCACATAACAATGTGTGTATAAATTTTTGTATGAGAAACTAACTTGAGCTGTAAACTTTCACTGAAAGCGTAATAAAAAAATTTGTAGGTAAGTCGGAATAGGTGCATATGCTTCTTAGCCTTACTTTAGTGCAAGAAGAGGCTTGAAGTCTTTTCAGTGATTTAAAAGCTGCTCGTGTAGCAAGTGAAGGTGTAATGAAGAACTTGTGAGTAGGGATTGGTTCAGTTGTTTCAAAGTGAGGGCAAATTTATGTAACATTAAAGGCAAGTACAATTTGTCCTAAGTTGGACATTTGTAACCCAGGGACTTGTCTGTAGTCATTTCAACTGGTACCACCATCAAAGTGCGACAAATAAATAGTATATTCTACTCATCCCCTTTAGTCCACCACTCTTTTTGTGACACACAGTCTGGTCTGGATTTTTGTTGAAGAAATCACCATTTTCCAGTTATTTAGGCGCACTGCCTTAGAGTGATTTTGGGCTCTTGGATATCCTATACTCCACAAGATGTTACACAGTATCTTTCACTTGGTAGTATAATATTCTGAATTTTGAGCCAAGTGTATATATCACTACTCATTAAAACAATGAAATAAAATAAACACAGAGAATATGCAGTGTTATAGACTGAATTATGTCCCCTCAAAATGTGTGTCAACTTGGCTAGGCCATGTTTCCCATTATTGTGTGGTTGTCCACCATTTTGTGATCTGATGTGCTTATCCTGTGTGTTGTAAATGAGGCAGGATTAGAGGCAGTTATGTTAATGAGGCAGGATTTAATCTACAGGATTAGATTGTATCTTGAGTCAAGCTCTTTTGAGATATAAAAGAACTGAGCAGAGAGGAGAGGGACCTCATTACTACTAAGCAAGAAGAGCCAGGAGTGGAGCATGTCCTTTGGGCCCAGGGTCCCTGTGCTGAGAAGCTCCTAGAACAGGGGAAGATTGATGACAAGGACCTTCCCCCAGAGCCAATAGAGAGAGAAAACCTTCCTCTAGAGATGGTAGCCGGAATTTGGATTTAGAGCCTCCTAAACTGTAAGAGAATAGATTTCTGTTTGTTAAAGTCATCCACTCCCCTGGAGCCATCAGAGAAATCCTTCCTCTAGAGCTGGCACCCTGAATTCAGAGTTATAGCCTCTTAAACTGAGAGAGACTAAACTTCTGTTTGTTAAAGCCATACTCTTTGGTATTTCTGTTATAGCAGCAGTGTATAACTAAGACATGCAGTAACCTATGAAATTGGCATGATTTTTTATGAAGTATCATTTTTGGGTGTGCCTTTTTGGTCCCTGGAAAGCATAGGTTCACTTTCCTGCCATGAGGCACCATATGGGAGTCAGTAGCTTTGGTGTGTATTGTGTAATATCCTATAACATATGTTTTTGTTTTCAAAATCATATGTATTACTATATGTATCCTAACCCAGCCCTGGTCACTTATGTAAAATCAGTTGCCCTTGCATTGACTCTGACTCATGGCAACCCCATATGTGTCAGAGTAGAACTGTGCTCCATAGGGTTTTCAGTGACTAATTGTTTGGAAGTAGATTGCCAGGCCTTTTTTCGAGGGCACCTCTGGGTTGACTCAAACCTCTAGCCTTTCAGTTAGCAGCCGAGTGTGTTAACCGTTTATACCGCCCAAGGACTTCATCACTTTTATAAACCCGTTGCTGTTGAGTTGATCCCAACTCATAGCAAGCCTATAGGACAGAGTAGAACTGCCCTATAGGGTTTCCAAGGCTGTAATCTTTATGGAAGCAGACTGCTACATCTTTCTCCCGTGAAGCAACTGGTTTGAACCACCAGCCTTTCAGATACCAGCCAAGTGTTTAACCACTGCACCACCAGGGATCCTTCCGTCACTTATACGGTGGGATAAAATAATGACTCCTTCACAAGTTTAGATTCTGTACCTGTGTAGTTCCCAGCTTCAGGACCCAGCACTTGGATGAACTAGGCATTTTGCTGTAAATTATATGACTGCATGAGATTTTTCTTTTTAACAGTTGATCCTCCACCCCCCAAATCAGTCTTCTGTTAAAGACTGCCACCTTGTGGTTTTTAAAAATACAAGATTTAAGAGAAGACTTACTGTGGCATGACTGCTGAGATTTTACATACATAGTTGCTTTATGGAGCCCTGGTGGTACAGTGGTTAAGAACACGGCTGCTAACCAAAAGGTCGGCAGTATGAATCCACCTGGCACTCCTTGGAAACCCTATGGAGCAGTTCTACTCTGTCCTATAGGGTCACTATGAGTTGGAGTCGACTCGACGGCAAAAGTTAGTTGCTTTATAGTACCAAAATGAGTAAGAAATTAATACTATTAAACTTCACTTTAAATTACTTTTGCTTATCATTTGGCCAGTTTATTTCTTAATTTTATTTTAATATTGCAAGATTATTTTTTCCTATTTCTATTAACTAAAATGTCCTCTTTTAGCCCATTCTCAAACATCAGTAATAGAAGTACTCTTCTACAGTAGCAGTTTTAATTAAGAACAGGTCTTTAATATTATTAAGGCTTTTCCTGTATAACTAATTAATAACATAATTATTTGGATGAGGAAATAGTGTCCTTTAAAATGCAGTTATTTGGCAGTATATATCCAAAGGAGCTTTAATTTTATCATGTGGAACCCCATTTAATAAAAAGTGACATTTAGAAGAAAAAGAACTCTCATAGTAATATAAACTGAAATAATTAGTTTTTCTGCAGAATGTTTGACGGGGCCTTATTTGGCCCTATGAAATCATCTCTTATCAGTCCTGTAAGAAATGGAAGGTGCTTGTGAGTTTGAGTCCTTACGTAATATCAAGGGAGTTTCTGTATTCTGTATTATCAAGTTATATAATTACTTTTGAAATAACTTATTAATTCCCACTTGCTTGATCTCATTTCATGTCTTGATTTACATCTCCTATACATTTTGGTTTATAATATGCATTGTATTTAAAAATAATAAATTTCTATTTCTTCAAAAATATTCTCCCAGTGAAGCATGTAAGCCTCTTTCTATAGAACAAAGAGGACGTGTTTGCGCTCAGAGGCAGCCAGGATTCTGGTACATTGGTCCTTACGGAGTTCTTTGACCCAGAGACATGAGAGGAGAAAGTTGTTATCCACCTAAAACTAATTTTAGTAGGTTATGACAGCCTTTATTTGAATTGCCTCTTTTTTTGTTTCCACGTTACGCAGGGAGGGAGAAGGCCTTACGTCAGAGGTATAATTTGATGTCTTGTGCTTTTCTCATGTATTGCAGTTATGCTAAGAAAGAATCTGATCTTAATGGAGCCCAGATCAAGCTTCGAGAATATGAAGCAGCGCTGAATTCTAAAGATGCGGCTCTGGCTACTGCACTTGGTGACAAGAAAAGTTTAGAAGGAGATTTGGAAGATCTGAAGGATCAGATTGCCCAGGTAAGGAAAAGTCTGCTCTTGAGCTGTGTTTGGCAGGTTAATTCCCTCATCTTTCTTAAGCTGTGTTTTTTTTGTTCATTGTACTTCAGGTGAAGGCTTACAGAACAAATAGTTTCTCATGAAACAGTAGTACACATATTGTTTTATGACATTGGTTAACAACCCCACAA